TTCCCTATGACCACGTGTCGGGGCGGGAAAATGGCCGCGGACCACGTGTCGGGGTGGGAAAATGGCTGCGGACCGCGTGTCCTGTTTGTACCCCAAGGCGGAGTTCGCAAACCGAAGCAAAATTTTGCGGCCGGAGCTGGTTGTAACCCGAAAAGTTCATTAACAGAAGTGTTCGTAACCCGAGGTTCCACTGTATTTATTTTAGGTAACTTGTACACGCTGTAGAATTTGGCTTTCTTTGGGATGCTTGAGGTAGAACTTTTCAATAGCATTGGTTCAGTTTAGTAATTCATGTTTGTATTTTTTTTGTTTGCAAAAATATTGTACTGTGGGAAGAGAAAGTTTCTAATATTCCTTTTTTCTTCCAGTTATGTGACTTCATTGAAACTCACTATTTGGATGAGCAGGTTAAATCCATCAAAGAGCTGGGTGACCACGTGACCAACTTACGCAAGATGGGAGCACCAAAGTCTGGAATGGCAGAGTATCTCTTTGACAAGCACACTCTGGGGGAAAGTGACAATGAGAACTAAAAACCTCCCATGAATGCTGCAATGGGACTCTTATCCTCATCAGTTGTGCATGCTGCTTTGGTTTATCCCTAATATTTTCATAATTGTATAAAATTTACTTCTGTTTGTATGTGTTGTATCTCACGCCCAATAAAGTGACTAGGTTCTAGTTATTTCCAGTTGTACTGCAGTATGTTTTGAGTAAAAATTTTAATGAAATACCCAAGGCAGCAAGTGGAGTTCCCCATAAATGAAGCAATGGGCTCTGGTTTGGATCCAAAGGTGAAAATGTGCTTCAGAGTGGGTGTGGTTTCTTTAAGGAGGCATTAACACCATGCCCAATGCAAAGCACCTTTCTGGGTGTGGATTCAAAGGGTAGTTCATTTCTATTAATTTGCACTCCCTCAGTCCACATTTGGATTCCTGGTTACAACATTGCCCAATTTATCTATCTATCCAAGCGTCTGATTAACATAAACCTTGTTCTGTCACCTGTGTTTCAGTTGTACGGGCTGCAACTTATAAAAGTTGATTTTTTATACTGGGAAATATGCAGCATAGAGCTTGCTCTACTAGATGTTTATCTGGGAGTAAACACTTCATTAGATATGTATAAAAGTGTGTTAATGCTGTTCCGTGTTTGACCTATAGGATCTGTTTAACCATGGGTAAGAGAAGTTGGTTCCTTATAAGAGCACAAGCCCACCTTCAGTGTCATACAGGAATTAAGCTATAACATTTGGCATACATTCTCAAACTTTGTCTACATTTTAGGACAATGTGGTTACCAGTGCTTGACTCCATTAGAAAAATAAACCTGTTAGCAAAATTAAAGCAAGTTTAAGTATGCTTGCTTTAAAAACAAATTGTCTTATTAGGGTGTTCGATACTGTTCGTGGAATTATATTTGCAGAAGAGTTTAAAACCTGTTGCCTGGATGCCCAGCAAGATATAATTTATTTATTAAATGTATGATGCCTTAAATGGGGCAGAATCTGAGATATTGGGGGAAGGATTAGGTCTCTAAGTGATGCTGCACATCCAATGTCTTACGGTGGCACCGGATCAGAAATGTTAATCCAAATACATTCTGACCAAGTACAGGCTACGTCATGCTTGTTCTGCACCGGATTACTGTGGGTTGTACTCTGTGGCTCAGCTATGGTAAGCAGCGTTCTCTTCCAGGAAGCTCAGTGGAAGATGTACTCTAGAGCCCAGGGGTGGGTGTCGTTTGGGAACCAGAGGTTACACAGAACCATTTTTGAGAGGTCTGCGGGGGTGGGGCAGTGATGCTAAGTGAGTCAGCCAGTGTTAGACATGCTTGAGTGCAGCCAGGATTTTCCTGTGCTTGGAGATTTGATATTTTTTAACCAAGTTTACCTTATGACTTGCACTGCAATTTTGGTGTACTCTGCATTGACATGACAAACGCTGCTACCAGTTTTCTGTTAAAGAGGCCTTTGGGTCTAGAAAAGACAGTTAAAGACTACATGTGACTCTGGAGCCTCACCTTGCTGAACTCTGGATCAAACTTCTAAAAGCTAAAGTAACTGGAAAATTACAACCTTGGCCTACCCACTTTCTCACAAGTGTCATTTGTTCCTGAAATATGGACGTGGAGGACATTTCCACTGGGTCTTGGGAGAACTATAAAGCCCTTTTCAAGATTTCTAAGATGGCAAAGAAATCCACCACTTTGGTGTAGCGATTAAGGCAGCAGGCTAGAAACCAGGAGACTGAGTTCTAGTCCTTAGGCACAAAACCAGCTGGATGACCTTGGGTCTGGGGGAAAAAAAAAAACTTATGAAAATGTTGCCAGGAAAACTTTAGGGACCTGTCCAGGCAGTTGCCAGGAGTCAGGACTGACTTGAAGGCACAAAAGATAGATAAAAACCAAACTCCCTTCAGTCTGCCAATCTCAGTAATTTTTCATATTTCCCTTGGCTGCAGTTATTCTGGCAAGTATTCCATTCTCCTGGCAGGAGTTTGATTACATCTGTCAATGGCACAGCCAGACTAGTACTATTGTCTGCTTTCTACCTGTACTATTTACGTTATGAGGAATTGAAACTTATTCTTCAGTTGCTTTCAGTTACTGTCACATGTTTTTCAGAAATAGATTATAGGCAAATGTGCATGAAAAAACAAAGAATGATTTTCTCTTGCTAATGCTTTGCTTAGAGAAAGAGTATAATGTAAGAACTGCTCGAGATAGGGTGTGAACAAACTGTGCCAGTTAACCACACTGTTTTTCTTTCTACCATTGATCTATACAGCCCAATGTAAACCCCTTAAACTTTGCCAGAGAAGAAGCTTCCAATCTTTCTACCTATCCATTTATTTTCAAGTTGTCTTAGACAAGTAGAATAGCATTCCCCAAACTGTTGAAACACTGGGCTTTTTTTTTTTTAGAATTGAAACTAGCAATGCATTTCATTCTCCATATTTTCCAGATGGCTTGCAATAGGCACCTTATTTGCTAGAGTGACCGATTAATACTGTCCTCTGACTTCCCAACTTTTCTTTTACTCAGTCAGGGGTACAGTTGTACCGTAAGGCAACAGGAATGCCTCCAAGAATTGCACCCTCTCCCGCCATCTGGAGCACAGGACATGCTAACAAGTCCTTAATACCAAGATCATATTAATGTCTATAAAAATGTTTGGGTTTGGGTTGGAAAGTTTGGCGCTGTAGGCTGACTGGATGGGTTGGGTCATACTGGTGTTGCCCATTTTGAATGGAGTATGCCATCATGCCACTATCCAATCTTAATCTGTAATCACTGTCAAAATCCACATGAAGTGTGATCTTGTGTAAAGGAATTTCTCTAGGATCCAATAAACCTCAAACATAATTTGGCTAAGTGGGCTGGTAATAGTCACAAGAAGAAATTCCATTTTTAAGTATGCTAATTGGAGGGGGGGGGGAAGAAGCCATTGCATCCTTCTGAAATGAACTTACACACCGATTATATGATTTGTCCCAATTAAATTCTCTCTCCAATACTCTCCCTGGAGCGGGATGTGCATTTGTAGCACTGGCAGCAAGTTCCCATTCTTTGGTACTTTCAGATAAAATAGCAAACAAAAGATTAAGCATGGAACCAAAGTAAGTCTGCTGAAATTAATTTCCTTAGTTGTGTGATGCTGAAATTCCATGAATGGCCCTTAACTTGCTTGTTAATGACAGCTCATATGCATTTATGAAATGAGTGGTCCAGCTTAAAGCTGATATTCCATTTGTTTTGTAGTCTGTAGTGTGTGCTTCTGCCACCCTTAAAAAGCTGGATAGCAATTTTAAAAATAATAAAGCAATCCCTCCCACAACATCCATATGAAAAGACTCTGTGCCCACTTAACTGAACTGTCCCTTGTCTCCCTTTCCTTCATCACTTGTGTTCTCACTTATTTCCATGATCACTTCCATTAATCCCACAAAGTCTCTCTCTGCTAGAGAGATGCCAGAGTCATTGGGCAAAGAGCTGGTGGTCTTTCTCTGCTCCTCGGTGTAATAAATACTTCCTGAGTCACTTGCAGCTCCAGAAACAGTTGGATTATCTTGCTCCATAACTCCAGGAGAAACTTCTGAGCCAGGGCCAACAATAGCATTTCCTTTGCTCAGATGAGATGTCTCAAACCCTGGGGAAGTCAAAGGGGTGAAGGGAAAGAAAGTAGTAGGGCCATTGCTATTAGGAGTCTTGATGCTGTGAGCATAAAGGATGCTGGCATGGTCTGGAGCTGTTGTGTTATCTGGAAGTTGCTGGTGGCTTTTCAGATTATTCAAGCTCTTGAAACTGGCTTGCATCTCAGGGCCTGTGCACTCAACAAAGAAGGGAAACTTGGTGCTTACAGAGTCGCCTGAGGACAGAGCTCCTTCTGGACTTCCAAGAGGAGATGTTTCCTTTGACCAACTGCTTATGTTTTTTGTGTCTTCTTTAACTGACATGACTAATGAGTCTGAAACTTGGCTTTTTTCAGCTGGCCACAAAAAAGTCTCTCTTGATCTTGAGCCAAACAAGTGCTCACTTCTGTCCATATCACCAACTTTGCGAGGAGACTGGCTGGTAGTGTTGTCCCTCAGAAAAGTGGAACAAGCAGCAATGCTGGAGAGAGCAGGAGGTTTTTTTCGGTTTTGACGCTGGGATGGCAAGATCATCGGAATTGAGCTGATGGGCGTCTGTGGAGCACTGTAGAATCCAGGCCTCTCATAGAAAGGGCTCGATGTGAAGGCATCAAATTCTCTCAGTTTACTGGCTGCAGTGTCCCATTGATCCTGAGAACTGATGCCTAGTGGGAAGCTGTCTCCCCTTTGCTGATTAATACTTGGAGGGTTCCCAGGCTTGCCCCCATCAATATAAGCATAACAAAGAGAAGGAGGGACATTTTCATTCCTCCGACGGATCAGGCTCATTCTTGGCGACCTGGTAAAGCTGGGGGATTGTACATTCAGGAAGCGGCTTATGTGCCCCAACAGTGGTGTCGAGTGGTTTGCTTCCTCATTCTCTTTGATCTGTTCCAGGGGTTGGAATTCCATCTCTTCCTTCTGCATGCTGGAGAAAGGAAAGAGTAGAATGCAGTGAAGGATTGGAGAAGAGAACTGAAATCAAAGGTGTGCAGTGGAGACTTTGGGGGGAGGGTGCAGCTGGGGTACCACACCTGATATGACCAGACAAATCAATTCTTTTCATTCAAGGCAGTGGAGGTGACAAGTGCAAAATAAATTCCAAGAGTCATTTCAATACTTGGGATTTCCCCGTGCACTTCTGTTTACTGAACCATTGATCCATGATCAAATTACAATGGAGGAAGGAAAATGATACTGACAAAAGATACACAAGGAAGGGGAAGGAATGTTACATGAACATTCTGCTCCCAACCCTCTTAAAATCCTTCAAAGACCATGGCAACTCTCAGCAGCACCATCTCCAGGTTCAGCAGTCCTCCTGTTCCTGAGCACTGGCTGTGTCACTCAAAGAGCCCCTCTTCCTCAGGGCAGTTGCTGTTGCTTACCCCTCCCCATTATTGTTCCTTGTTGCTTGCCACACTGATAGCCAATGAGCAGAACCAGCTCAATGCAACTCCTCCTTCTTTTCCTCCTCCTCCTCTCTGTCTTCCTCTTGTAGCTAAGGGAGAAGATAGGGGAACAAGTGGGGAGCAATACTCAGGAGAAGGAGGGAGTAGATGAAGCAGGCCCAAGAAGTTCACAGGTGTGCCTAACCATGCCAACTCTGTGTTTGTGGATATGAATATGCCAACATTCATCATTCTTGATTGCCTAAGACATTTTGGCAGAGCAGCAAGATGCTCCCAAATTTATGAGTGTGTTTATGTGTATCACTGTGTATCCCCTACTTTTTTTGTTTTTCCAAAGAAATTCTAAGGGGTTTCCAGTTGTAAAATCCATGCAGTATAAAATTAACTCCATCAAATGCATACAACAATACTACATTTTATAAATCAATTCAAGATGCATAGCATCAATGGTTGGCCAAATGATTTTGGCACTTTGGCAGAGAAACTCACAAGTGCCTCCCCAACTCCTAAGCAGGAACGACATCATTACTGCTATTCCTACAATGGAATAGTTTAAGAATTTGCTTCCCTTTCATGTTATAGCAAATTAGCTGCTTGAGGGTTCCACCTCAGTCTGCCTAATTATACAGGGCTGATCCTGCTTTGGATAGTTAACTACAGCAAGGTTGTGCATGCTTACAAAAGAAAAAAAACATGAACAATTAAATATCACACCAAGAAAGCTGAAAGCTGTGACATGTGATAATTTCATTCTTCAGGATTTATAGCATTGTCCTTTTAGAGACAATCTTATTTGGCAGTAAACAACTTGATATGCTTGAATAGTGATCTTTGTTTTACAAAGACTCAAGGAGAAAACTGCAGTAGGGCTAAAGGAAACAGTTTGCTTTGGTAACTTGACAAAAGCAGCTTCACAAAACTGGGTTTGAATGAATGAAGTTGTTGTAATGGGTATCATATGAAAAAGCTTCCTATTGTCACAAACTGGTCAAACGAAATAATTCGGGTTGCTAATCTGGTGTGAAATATGGAGGTGTGTCAATCCTATATATACATTCTCTGACTGTAAATTCTAATATAGACAAAATGGTGGCACCCACCCACAAGAGGGAAAAAACATCAGAAGGTTTCAGGGGAATCCCAAGGTTTGCAGCAGACATATACCTTTCAGAGGCACAATATTAATCAGGTCACAGAAAAATAACAAGAGTACAGTTCACTTGTCAGATGAAAAAGTAGATTTATGCCATAATAGATGCATTTATCTTTAAGAATTCAAAACAACAGCATTTTCCCATAGGAAAGATTCTTATAATTAATTTCAAAATTCTCATTCAAATCCATCTAGACCCTTAGTCTGTTTGTAACTTTCCAAAATCAATGTTCTAATCACCCTTTTGCTGTTTATTCCAAAAGAAACTTTTTAAAAAAATCCTTAAACCTGCATTTAAAATTTCTTTTGCTAAGGGTTGAAGGAGACTTACCTGGTGCTCTAAAACTTGCCATTGCAAAGGTTCCTAATAGTTAAAAAGCAGTTAAAAAGCAATTTCTGAAAGTGATGTACTTGTTGTTATGAAGGGGCAAGTCATTTCTTTATATATTTCTTTTCTTTTTCTTTACTATAGTTTTTTTTTCTTTTCTATTTTTCTATTTATTTTTTCCCTTATTTTCTGTACTATTTTTTTTAGTTTGTATTAGTTTGTATCTTTTTATTGTAATGTTTAATAAAATTATTATAAAAAATAGATGCATTCATCTTTAACACTGTTAATGTTTTCAACAGAATATATAGAAAAAGAAATTAGTGGCAAAGAACGATGGGAGGACCCCAGAACAGCCAAATGGCAAATGAGCATGCTTGGTGGGCCTGGAATTATTTCTGGCTACTGGGGTTAGGGAGGCAGAAGAAGCAGTAATATCCAGGCATGGCATGGCTGGCTGGAGCCCTGAACAGATCCAATCCATACTGCAGTGCTATGTGTAAGTCCTCTTGTGACACGAGAAAGGCAAATACATTTATTGTGTCATGATGTTCCACATGTAAGAGCCCACTGCAGGTGTACTTTCTATGGCAGGAAAGGGATCCCTGTGGTTACCTTCTGTAGCTTCACTTGCCTGATATCAAAGGTTGAGCCAAGGAAAGATGTCCGCTTATATTCTGCTGTTGCTGCAGTATAAGGTGGCTGGGGGTCTGATTCATTCCAATATGGATCCTTCTGCAAGGTTGGCAAGTCCTGGTGCATTTCATCCACAGCCATAAGGGAGACCTGCCAAGATATGGCACACTATTTCAGCCACAGTAGGTGAATGTTCTTTATTTCTCCAGTTCTGAGAAAGCACCCATTTCTAATAATTTGGGGACTGCTGCAATCTAAGAAAGAATTATGGACATGCTTTCTGCCATTTAGTATCTGGACAGCCTATGATAATGGAGTTCTGCACTAAGATAAGAATGAATTATGACTTGATAAGTCCTTAAGTCCCAAGCTGGCAACAAAACTAGGAGGTTTGTAAAACCTCCAAAGTTCAGTTCACGGCTAGATGTGTCACAAGCTGTGCAGCCTTTTCTAAGTGGTAAGACTGGTGGAATTAGTCCTTTTGGATGCAGAAAAAAGTCATATGACCTCATGAATGACAAAAGAATGAGCAACAGGCAAGAAAGCATGAGCGAAAGCTCAGTCAGAGCTCTGTATGGGAGATCTTGGGTTTAAACTTCAAGTTTTCAGAAATCATCCACCTGCAGAAAGCTAGTAAAAGAATGTATGTTGAAAATATGAAATTACTCTAGAAGCATACAGGTTTTCATGACAGGGTAACACCACACCTGACAAGGTGCTCAACAGGGAGGATATTATATAAAATTTTTCAAAGCCATATTTCCTTTGAATATTAGACAGCTATAGAACTGCTGAGAGGGAATATAAATTAAGTTCTTATATATGCTATAATTTCTTCATCTAAAGCTGTATATCATGAACTATTGAGAATTCTTCTTGAGACATCTCAGAGGGACATATTCTAAGTCCTTAAGTTCACCTGCAGATTCCTATCAATAAGCCAATTGGTTTCAAAGTCATCATCATCCTCTCCAAATGGATTGATGAGCTGTTCTGCTACCTGTGAAATTGGAACAAGGAAAAGATCAGAAAAATGTAACTTCAGTGGTGGTCCAGCAAAATATATTGCACTCTTATATTTAAGGTTACATTCCCTGTTAGCGGAATAAGGAGTAAAATTAGTAGAATAGGGTAATCTAGGACTATAGAGAAGGAAGCTACAATACAGTTTATTTGTATTTATTAGAGAAAGACCTTGCAGATTTCCCAACTTCATCAACTTTTTATCAGTTTCATTTCTGAGTTTAGAAACTGCCTGGAAAAAACACTGCTGGAGCTAAGGAATGTTGGGGTAAAAGAGGAGTAGATGGAGAGGCTACATCCCAGGCCCTTTTAAAACTTTAAATCATCCTCCCTCCACCATCTACTTCATAGCATATAAAAAGGCATGTCTGTATTTAATAATGCCACCATTACATGCTATTTGAATCTCATTGGAATTTTGAGTTGGTCCTACCTAATGCATAACATAGTTTTGGCACTTTAGATGCAAGAACCAGCTCCAGATTATGATCCTAGCAAACAGAAGTTCCTTGGGGGTGGACAACCCTGTTTTGAACTGACCTTTAGCCAGCCAGCATAGAAGAAAAACTGCAAGAAGGTGAAAATGGGCACATAGAAGTCCATTTCATGGCCAGGGTACCTCTTGGCTGGATCCAGGAACTGACGGCCAATTAAACATGCAAGGAAGAAGCTGTAAACAGCTACTGTGACAACCTTGGAGAAAGAAACATTGTTAGGATCTCTTGAAACACCTTGGTTTACTAGGGGTAGGTTTGTCCTGAGGAGCAGTACTGAACTACAACTCATTCCAATGCATGCTTCTATAGGGGCAGAAATACCATTATCTACACTGAAGTCACCAGTTCAAGAGGTTAAATTTAATGTCTTCAACGAGCACAATTTGTCACATCACATCTCTTTCACTGTTTGTGTTTTTGCTAATGTCATATCACTTATGAGCCACAGATTTCTAAGCATCTGCTGCAAGCCACATCACAATGCCCTCTCTTTTGCTTATTTAGACAATGCTGATACAACTCAATTACTGTATAACCTTTTCTCTATAGAAGCTTTGCCTACTTTCTCCAATATCTGAGTGCATATTTCATTCCATTTACAACCTTAAATTTATATCCTCCTACACTTGCCTGGTTCACTCCCTTCCCTGATGGGGAAATAAAGATCTTTCTTGGTACAGCTAGGATTAATAAAGTACTAAAAGAAAACAGAGTTACTCTCAGGAGGAAGAAAATTATTTGGAAAGCTATGAAGATTTTGAAGAGCTACATCCCATTTTTGTATTTGTTTTCTGCTTAATCCAGACTTTGAATTTAACTACAGTTTATACACTGTTCTTTCTATATTTTTGCATCCAGGTTTGGACATTCCTACGATTACCACTGCTAATATTCCATATAAATTCTACATCATTGACAGCCTGGAATCAGAATTTTGTTCCTGCCATTGCTTAAATTTCTATAACACAAAGATAAATTTGAACCTCTGCTAGAATCTATTTGTGCAAGACTACTAAATTGATCTCTCTTAATAATTCTTTTGTTAGCAACTTACACTTAAACAGAAACATCAAATGCCATCCTGCAATAAGAGATTTATTCATAGACCACTAGAAATAAACCCATTATTTGGAGCTTGTGCTAGTGTACTGTGGCAAAACTTATTATTGTTCTATATTACACTGACAGACTTGTTACCTTGTTGCACAGTTACCTGTTTCTTTAAGCAGGTAATTTAAAGCAGCAGTTTCTGCTCTTTTGCTCTTTACTCCACCTGCTCGAGCAAACGGGATTCCAAATGCACAACACAGCCAGTGAGAAAAAGAGATGTCAACAAAAGAGTGGAGGTGAAATGGACAGAGGAAGCAAGTGCTGCCTTATCTTCAACGGAACAGTGAATGTAAAGGCACCTGGAGAATATGCAAGACAAGCTGCCTTTCATCCACTCTACTCAATTCTGTTTCTAGCAACAAAGACTCTCCACCAGTGATACGGCTTCCATAAACACTGTGACTTTCAACACCAAACAAATTCTCATGGACATCAGGTCTTGGTTTCATCTGCTTTGGGTTCTGATTTGCAGGAAACTTAGCTCGGCTGACTATGAATTTCCCATTAACCTTATTGGTACACAAGGAGCGGGTTCTACTTCCACTGCACAGCAGAATCTAACAAAGTTCATTATCTAAACAGTCGGCTGTGGTTTGGGTGGAGGTGAACAACTAATCTGCCTGGTGCCTGAAGTCGATAACAGTGTTCTCTGCATTCAGGTTGCTATCACTGAAGGCCACTGGATGGTTTGCCAATAGCTGAGAAACTGCTGTTAAGACTCCAGAGGAAGCATGACTGTTGGAAAGTCATGAAAAGCCACCTGTTTTTCTACAGAAAAAATATATATATAAATAAATAAATAAATGTGCTTTGTATGTGACAATTGGTGCATAGCACACATATAACCATTTTGGCTTAAATACATAGTGGCCATTCCCCACTCATTCTTAACTGTGGCACATACATGCTCTAGCAATATATTTTTTCTGCCAGATCCCCCTGATGTTGGCTTCATCTCATCCCCAGCCCATAACTGAAGCTGCCTTAAGACATCCTTAGTGTTAAAGTAGTTTTCCTTCTTATTCCAACACCATCCAAGCATATCTCAATCTGTTAGGCTTTATACCCTTTCACTAGGAGGGAAGTCAGCTGAGTGGCAGTGACCAGAAACAGAGGCAAATAAAGGCAATGGGGAACAAGCAGTTTGAATTTGCAATGGATACAAGTAATAATAATGATAAAAGCAAGCAAGAACTGGTGGGGCCACAAAACAAAGTAATAGAAAATGAAGAAGCTAAAGTGCTCTGGGACTTTAGAATTCAAACAGACAAGCACTTGCCACAAAACATCCCAGACTTAACAATTGTTGATAAGAAAGACAAAAAAGTCTAGATTGTGGACATTGCAATACGTGGGGCCACAAAACAAAGTAATAGAAAATGAAGAAGCTAAAGTGCTCTGGGACTTTAGAATTCAAACAGACAAGCACTTGCCACAAAACATCCCAGACTTAACAATTGTTGATAAGAAAGACAAAAAAGTCTAGATTGTGGACATTGCAATACCTGGAGACAGCAGAATAGAAGAGAAAGAAATGGAGAAAATCACAA